CCGTTCAAAAAAGGGGCAGGGCTCCATACCACGGAATATTCAAGGTTTAGACAGCGTAATTCGCAAAAATACGGCCTTCAAAAAATGCCCTTGCAAAAAGAGTTTTTCGGAAATCGGATTCTGGCAAATATCTTTTAAATAATTTTTCAGCTTTCAAAAACCTACGATACTGAAATATTTGCAGATACCGTAGCTTTAATAGGCACAAAAATAACAACGTATCCAGCGAGTCCAATATTTGCCGCCCAAATCAAAATTATACACCGCATCATGATTTTTGGGGTCCATATCTGGAAATGACAGGTTTACGTCCGCCATCCCTAGCAACATTTGCATAAAGAAGGATAAAATTACGAATAGATATCTCGCAAGCAATTTAAACTCACCAGTGTCAGCCTCTCTCGCGTATACAACATCATTATCCGTGACAGGGCCAGTACGAAATTCCAGACCTTCGTCTGCGTAGAGATACAGCAAGAGACAACGTAGGCGACGCGAGCCAAGAATGGTAAGCAGGCTCCTTTGAAGGCCCACAACCAAAAGCCCCATACAGATGGCTCTTTCACAATCAGCTCGTTTACGCAGAGCAATAACTCGCAGATCACTAAAATCAGGCGTGAACAGGTTATAATTATCGACAACTACTTTTGTGCTTATCCCGGTCATTTACGCTAAAGTGGACGGACCATTGATCTTAAAGGGGTTAGCAAGGCAGGACAAAGATTCCCCCGCGGCATGGATCCAGCGTGTGCTGATTGCAGGTTTCTTGTAGTTTACCAATCGCTGCGTTTTTTTTACTTAAAAACAAGATTTCCCCATATTTTTCAAGTCACTTGCGTGGCCGCGACACACGTAAATAAAGCGCTACCTCGCCGCACACCGCAAGAGCACCAAAAAACCGAAAACCAACGCGAAGCCGTTCAAGGTTTTGGCGTAAATACTTCCACACTCACGAAAGGTACTGTATCCTAGGACCGCTCCCCCGCGAGGTGCGCTGATCGTTAATATCACTAGCGTGTAGCCCCAAAACTTGGATGTGCTGCCTCTGCGTTGCGGGCTTTACGGATGCTGCGCGTCTTTCTGGTCTACCGCGAGATTCAAATACTAACGTCCCTAATCTGGGCGTACGGTCCCGCACGAAAAGCCAGATCCAGAGTTTTCCGGTTTTTGACAGTGCTCTTCGTACCCAAAAAAAACCTACAAACATTGATGAGACAAAGCTCGTATACCCGATCAAAACGTCCCCTCTCCAGCAGCACCCATATCAGCAAACATTGGAGTGGTAGTGTAATTAGTATGAAGACGTCCACACCCAGCGCCAGGTAATCCATTTTAGTATCTTGACGACTTGAAGGGGCACTGTGTAAGGTATCGTAACCCTGCTTGAACTCGGCGTCCTGTAGCCCTGCGAAATGTTGTGGTCAAATTAGGCCCGGGACGGCGTCCTGTTTTTGACAATTACATATTTTGGACACAATCCAATCAAAAAACATGTCCAGAGTGTGAGAAAATCCAGAGTTTTTTGAGGCAATGTCGTGGGGAAATTTTTGCGGGCTCAAAGAGCGGTGAAAAGTGCATGCACCACGCGATGGTTCTAATAAGCAATTCAAGCTTAAGCCTAAGCGGTAAGATAGCGGAAAATAGAAGGTATATTAATTTGACACAAAAATTTATCGGATTATAAGTTCAGCAGGCAGCCGTTATTAATGATTCGACATTTGCTTTTCTTGCACGATTTATGGGTTTTCCACAATTGAAGCAGATGTCTCACGATTTTTCCGATTTTAGTATGAGCTCTGCAAGAAAAGCGGTGACGGTTAACCTTCGCCCCCGCGTGAAGTTCTCAGAAATGCCAATTTTTCTAGGAATCTTCACGAGATTTGCTCGAAATCACTCGCGCCAAAAAACATCAGAAAAATTTTATTTGCAGCTCAAAATATTGTAATATCAAAAAATTTTTGCAAAAGCAAAGATATGCTTGTGTTTTCTTATTAGCAGTCTTTAAAGGGATACCCAATGTTTTGGCGGCAAATATATAGTTATGTATTCCGGGGAGTACAAATGACGCGCGAATTCTGTGCGGTAATCGATGCCCAGTGCCGCACAGAATTCGGCCTCCTCTCCCCCTTGAGGCGCCCCCATCTCGACCAATGGCTTGCCACTATGGCCTAATGGATAGCATCCAGGTCTTGAAAGCGGGGGTCCCGGGTTCGACCCCCGCCCGCGTCATGGTTTTTGCTTTTTGAGCCCCGAAAAGGTTGGGTATCCCTTTAAAGGGCAGGTTCAGGGACGTTTTTTTTGGAAAAAAGCAAAGATTTTTGCCGCGGCCGGGGGTCGAACCCGAGCCTCCCGATCGGGAGACGCGGTCGCATACCAATCAGCCACAGCTACAACCTGGCGACGGGGTGAGGGGCGCCCCACGCCGCAAAGGAGGGAAATTGCCTCCCACAGCACGGGCAGGCAGTGCGCGCCGCCCCTACGTCCATAGGGTGTACACGTTGGGACGAGTACACGGCCCCTCCCTGAATGTGCGCTTTAAAGTACCATTTTTTGATCGCGACAATTTGGCTGCTTCTGCACGTTGTATGAACCTGGACTGCCGAAAATTATGGATAGTAAAAAGTCATTCCCACCACTGAGATCTTCACGTTTGCCTCAGTTTCGTGCCATTTTGAAGGTGTCGTAAGTCTTTTCGCCTCAGGATTGTGAAAATGGGTGAATATGCTTGTAAAACTGCAGCTGACATTTTACCAAGCCGGCCCCCGCCATAAGATCACAATTCTCTAGAAAACGGACCGATGCTGTAGCGTAAACGATTTTTAAAAATGAATTGAATTGAAGGGAATTAAATGTCTTTCTAGGGATCCAATTTTTTAATATAGATAGATTAAGTGTTTCTAGGCTCTTTTTTACCATCCCCAAGCATGAAAAAGTTGCAAATTCTGATTATAAAACCACAAACCATATCGATTTTAGTACCAAAAATGGACGATTTTTTAAAAGCTTTTTTTATTGTTTTCCGTTCCATATCAAATTGATTCTATAGGTTGTTTACCTTAAGTCAAATTTCAGGTATGTAAGAAAAAAGTTTGTTTCGTCTCCCTGATAATGCTAAACAACGGTCGTGAAATCTGTAGGATTGATACGTTTTTAGCATCTGTTGCATTAGAAAAAGTACAACCTTTATTCTTCAGAAATCAGCCGCTTCTAATCGTATTTGCATAATCCGTATCTGTAATCACAAACTGGTAATTGGGGGGAAAGTGAGGGGTTTTGGCGTATTTCATTTGTGGATTGCATCCGGGAGGTGATAATGGCTAATTGGAAAATCACACGGGTAGATAAAGCTAGTGTTATTATTAAAACGTTAAACTAGTGAAATTTAAATTAAAAGTCGCAAAAATATACATAGGACACCTGCCTAACCTTCACAGTATACATACAAAAACTTTATATAAAATGGTACCCGTAAAAGTGGTATAATTGAACGAATTTCTTAAGAGGATGGTGGGTATTTGTGGTAAATTGGTCGTAATATCAAATAAAAATTATCGTTACAAAATCATAATTAAAGTCTTAGGTACAAGGCGATACAGTGATTTGGTAAAATCATCGAAAAGGGGGCGAAAAGGCAGAATTACCTGGCGTAATGATTAAAATGGTGGCCACAGAGCTAAAAAAAAACGGAAATAAGCTTAGGAATGCGGCAGATGAAGCCCAAACTTTGACAAATCATGCCAGTCGTCCCATGATAAATTGCCCTTCCGATCCGCAGTTTTGTTGTAGAGTCGATGGAGCTGGATTTGGGTGTGGAACCTGGAAAAATTGGACTAATTACTTGATTGGTACACAATGTGACTTGATGTCGGTGTGGTCGCGACGCGACATCGCTATAGTTTTTCTATATCTTTTTTACTTAAACCCTTTTGTTTAGTCATTATATTATTTTGCTCCAAAAACCTTATACAAAAGCTTACATTTTATTGTTGTCCTTCAACCCTCCGGCGCTCCAGATTGAAACGTCTAGCGAATGGCCATCGAGGAATCGTTTTACGTCTCGTACTTCACCAATGTCGTAGCACAACTAAATCGCAGTTTAAACTATCTGATAAAAATCTAATTAAATAAAAACCAATAAAAACGATCTTACTCACCTCTTCATTAAACGTTGGGTTCAACGAAGACCTTACGATTTTCGTCTTTTTCTTGGAATTCTGATCCGGGCGAAGATAGGTTTTGACGTAGGAGTCTGGGGCCTAAAAATATTGTTATGGTTTTATTGATTTCTTTTTAACGAGTCTTAGAATGATTATATTCTTAAATAGTCTACCTGTCCGGTCGTCAACATTGGTAGATGCTTGACATGCCCGACAAAAACTTTCAACTGGCTCGTCGTCGCTTGCCAGGAGAGCAGAAGCCGGATTTGGACGGGACGGCCGGCTGCTGGCTCCAGGACTTCTAAAAAATAGCTTGATCATAAATGTTTCGACTTTGGTATGACTAACTGGGTAAATAACTTTTAGCTACTTTCGCTTACCAGGTCCATTTTGGAGTGTGTTGTCCCGGAGGATGATATGGAAAAACGTGTAGACGAGTGGGTCCTTAAAAAACTTATTAGTTATCATTTTTGCGATTGATCAACAAAAATAGATCTATGGGATTTTTAGCAATTAGCATAACTTTAAGAGATGGCAATTTTGGCTGAGGTAGTACCGCAATCAAAGCTGTTGCGGGCTACTGTAACTTGTTGGCTATTTTTAGGCGGTTTTGGGGAGATTCACGTGTTTTCGCTAGTATAACGTTGTCAAAAGCCTACGTTTCGTACTGCTGACGGCGCTCCGTGAAGAAGTACTCGAAGGTAGTCCTAAAATTAAGGTATTGCGCTTCCAATTTTTGACTTACCTTCATGGCCGAAAGCCGTTTCAAGGCAACTTCCCGGTTGTTGGACCGTGCGTTTTCCTTAACCCAGTTTGGAGCTGAGGAATGGTGCCTGAAAGGTATTTTTTCTGATAAATTAGTCCATTTAAACAACTTTTTAGTTACTTTAACTAGCTAAGAAAAAAGGGCAAATCTTTATATACAGTAGGATAAATTAGAAATTGTCAAAACCGCAAAATCGGCTTCTTTCTCATACCGCATCTTCAGCTTCAAAGCCAACTCCTCGAATTCGGCGAACGAACGGTATACGGTGGTGGCAATGGTTTCCTGGTCTCGGTAGACAACCATTCGATACAGCTGAAAATCCAACGCTGTTCGTTTTTTACGCAAAGAAATAGCAATTTAAATAGCCCCAAAAAAGCGTTTAATACCTTCCGATACTTTTGGGTCCTTCCGGTTTCTAAAAATTTCTGTTTTACGTCTATAAACTTACATAAACTTTCTGGGGCATCATGCGTTTTTCCGGGTATAGGAGCTTTACGTCCTGGATTCGGCCGTCGGTTTCCATCCTGAAAATGATTCATTTGGCTTAGGCTTAGATTAAGCTTGACTTAGGCTTGGCTGAGGTTCAGACATAGGCTTAAGCCCGGGTTTAGGCTTGGGCTTGGTGTAGGATAAGCTTAGCTTGAGCGTAGCTTAGACATAGGCTTATCTTATGATTATCTTGGGCTGAGCTTCGCTTAGCTTAGGTTCAGCTTGACCTGTACTTTGCTTAGCCCTGGCTTAGGTTTAGGTTTAGCTGAGGCTTAGGGTAGCTAGCTAACTTACGTATGCCGATGAGGTACAAATGACAGCGTATCTGGCTGGTCAATTGGTCGTACAGTTTGTCCGCTCAGCATTTGGGCGAAGGTGTGCGCGAAGAAGTTCAGCCGGACGAACGTTGAGCCGAGAGAGATCTAAAATCTTTCATGAAGCCTGGTTTATCAGGAATAACGTTCGATTACAGCTCGCAACGTCATCAAGCGGTTCAGTACCAAAAGGACGAACAACTCAGGGATAATCATACCGTGATCATCTTCGTAAATTCAGCCGTCGCGTCGGTGTCGCTCATACCGAGCATCAGGTTCTTTTGCACAAAATGGAGGGATTGAGCGTTGATGCCAGGGATGTCGGAGCATTGCATCTAAGCACATTGAAAAATGATTAAACGGTCAAATTTTATAGGTTTTTAATTTTTCAAAGTAATTTTAGTAATTTTACTTAAATGAAAACCAATAAAACTCACAATTTTCAACAAGCTCAAAATATGGGCGTGTTTACTGCGCAGGTGGTTGAAGGCTTGGCAGCAGAAATCGATGAACGATTGGTAGCCATCGTTGGCGCCCTGGACCTCACCCCGGTTGATGACGGCGTACATCTCTTTGGTGAAAACGAATGGGACACGATCTCTGAAAAATGATATTTTTGAAAGATAGGGCAAATACTGCGTTGCGGAGCGAGGACGCAATAGGTTATTTGCAAATTTTTGTGTTTCTTGATTTTTTTTGTGTCTTTAAAGGGACGGTAAAAGCCTACTGTATTGTTTTCGTCCCGTCAAGGGGCGTGTTTTGAGGTCACCACATCAACGTAGCAATCCGAATTTTTCTCACCTCTTCACCGGTCCAGCCATCTGCCAATCGCCCATATACTTCCCGAAATCGATGTGGAAGACGTGGCCCATCGACGTCAATAGGATGTTGTCGTTGTGACGATCGCCAATCCCCAGCACAAACGTCGCCACGCACCACCCTGCGCATGAGCGCCGGAAGTTGTCCTCCGCCTAAACGGGGGGCGATGGAAGTTGTAAAGCATTTATCCAGGTATCTAAAAATTACTAACCACTTTATAGCTATACTCGGACGAGTTGTACTTCTCCAGCCACTTGCATAACACATCGTCCTTGAACACCCCGGCCATGCCCTCGGCTTTTTGGATGTCGCACAGGGTTTGGCAGTCGGACACGAGCTCGGCCATGCCTAGAATCAGTGCCCTGGGACAATTTTGTAAAAGTTACGTACCTTTCCTATATCCAACCGTAGCGCAACGGAAAGTGATCATCCGCAGGTCCAGTCCCTCGCACAACCAGATGTCGTTCATCACTCGAACCAGCTGGATCACAAGCGCGTCTTGTCGCATGTCATCGCCGTCCTAAAATATAAGTTTAACACTCAACGTGAACCTACAAAAAATTCTGTTACGCTACGATCTTATTGGCAAAAAAGTACCGCGGTACCAAAATTTTGAATGTAAGGGCCATATCTTACTTTGTGAATCACCGAAAATTTGCTCTTCAACCCCCGGAAAACGATGCGCAATGGCTTGGCGTTCGAGTTAAAGATCCCACACTTGGCAACGTCAATCTAAAACGGATTTCTGGGGTTAATTTAAGTTTTACAAACCCCAGTCGCTTTGAAAGACGGCAAAATCGGCAGTCGCACGTTTCGGCCAAGTAAATCTCCATCCAGGAAGCCGAGGCGTTGTCGGAGGATGTTGAGCTAAAAAGCATATGATATTTTCGGGCCCTGCCGATACCAAGCGGGAATTGTGATGCCTGCTAGCTAATTTAAAATACCTTTTGAAAGTCGCATACCTTTTCACTATCCGTCGTAATCTTCAGTTCTCGTTGAAGGTCATCTAGGGTGTTCAGAAGTTTGTGCTGCAGGTAGATGCTGTGGGTCAGGAGGGCTGATTCTTTTCTGAAACTGTGTTATATTTATTGACGCCCCTCAAAATTCACGAATTTTGAGATTTTTTGAGGTCACTAACAAGTAAGTCTCCAACTTTTTGATGATAAAAAATTCCTTACCTTGACAACAACTCTTTCTGCAACATTTGACACCTCCTGACGTAACAGGCCGTGTTCGCGGAAAAGTCGTTGGCCGGGCAATGGTCCACCCGTTGTTGCAATTGCCAATACAGCTCATACGCAAAGCGTAGATCTTTGTAGGAGAGTTCTAACAGCAGCTCGGCAAGTGAAGAGTCCTCATACAGCTCAAAACGCAGCACCTAAATCATGAAATTTTGTAAATTGTAGATTTTAGAACGTTTTTAAATCGTAAAACACCTCAAAAATAAACCCCTTACTTCAACGAGCTGGGGCATGAAATTGAACAGGAAATCGCTGGATGCTCTCCTGATCCATTCGACGGCTTTTGAACGGACGACATTGGTCGGGGTATCTGAAAAATGGTATAATTCGGTAATCGAGGCATTTACAAAACTATATTTGTATTTTTATAGATTCAAACCTGGTTGCATGCCTTAACTTTTCTTACTGCGAAGAAACTGGTTTTTAAAGATATAATTTCCTAAAATTCCGGGATTCCTGGGCTGGCTTAACGGTAAAAATCGGATCAGTGAAAAAAATAATTTACTATTTTACAGTGTTTTTGGGTTTTCAAAATAACAGCTAACCAAAAAAATTTTCTCAGTTTTTAAACCAAATTTCAAAAACGTAAAATATATTTTGAGAGTGGATTTATGCAAATTAAAATCTTGCAACTTTTTTAAAAGGCTGATCGACGGTTTCAATTATCTAAATAACTTACTGCGGTAGCAAAAGCTGAATAGCCTCCACTGGTGACAGTATCGTCCATCCCTCGATGAGAGGATAGATGTTTGGCAACCATCCATAGGCCCAGTCTGGAACGCTGGCCAAGACAAGCGGCAACGCCTCCGAGCTGTTCATCAAATGGTACCGCTTCTCCCATAAAAGCTCCTTCCACTCCTGCTCGAGCCTGTAAAATCGTCATAGACCCCTGCACTCGAAAACGGATTTCAGAATCGGAAGTTCACGTACTTTTCTTGGGTCCTTGAGCTCGAGTAGATCCTCGATTTCCTCCCTGCTGATGCTCGGGCATATCATGGAAGCTCATCGGGAGCCTGGAGTTCAAAAAATCCTTGCAAAACGATAGATTGATAGCCAGGGGCTTACTAGGGCAGCCACGAATTGTTTTGTGCGGCAGCCATGATCGTATCAAATAACTTACGCCGGCTCCACGTCGCTAATATCGGGGAAGTGGACGTCGTAGTCGTATCCTGGTAGAGAAATTATGACGACAGCATCTCGTTCGGAGCACAGTAACGGCTGGCCTCCCCCAAGGCTGTACGGCCCAGTCTCGTTGTGTCGACAGGGGGAAGCATGATTTGGCCTTGGCGGAGGATGCTGGAAAATGACGGTAGTTCAAGACAAGAAAAATCATATCAATAACCTTCAGGAATCGTTAATAACCCACTTATTATGATCAAACATTGGCAGTGATGCCTGGGCCAAATATTGATAGGTTCTCAGGTCGGGATCGCCGCCAACGGCAGCATGATCGATGGTCGGGCCTCTTAGTGCGTCGACCCCCAGAGCAGGAACACGAGCCGGGACTCACGAGGGCAATGTCGGAGCTCTTTTTTGAAGTCGGCCTAAAAATGGGGATAAGGTTTGGGTATAGGAGAGAGTAAGACAGAGACGAGTGAAAGAGCGCGAGAGTAGAGAGAGGGAGGGAGGAAAGCGAGAGAGAGAGAGAGAGAGAGAGAGAGAGAGAGAGAGAGAGAGCGCGCGAGCGTGAGAGATGGGGGAATAACTAACCACAAAGTCCATGCTAACATGAGGAAAAACTGAATCGACGCGGGCAGCTCGGGTCAAAGCTTCTATGACCTCCCAAATCGTCAGTGCCGTGATGCAGGTTGATCGTCATGAAGAAGGACTGAACATTATAGATAATTTTGCTACTAAAACATGTAAATAATTTTTAAGACACTTTTAACACTGCATTAGTTTTAGAAGCGTATTTTCGAGGGGGGGGAACTAGTTTTTCAACCATAAAAATTTTTAAAACATCGGGATTTTTTTAAAGAACCCCATCTATTTTGACTCTA